AAGTGATTCAGGCTTAAAAAAACAGAAGGAGGATTGAAATTTAGCAATTTTGCTGATTTAAACAATGCCTTTAAGATAAAATGTTTAAAAAAAAGTATTTGGAAAAACCCACATCTTTATGGAATTTCATAACACACAACATATTTCTACAAATTGGCGGGTTAGAATTCCTAATGAACTGAAATTATAATATTTCAAAATTACCAATCAAGATTTCAAAATGTCATCAGCAGTCGCCATTGGCGTGGAGATCATGCTATGTGCACAACTTCTCTCCTCATAAAGAAATATTGTGGAACAATGAAAATGTAACTATTAGAAGGAAGAGTATTTATAAAGAAAACTGGTTAAAAAAGGTATTGTATTTGTTGCAGATAAGTACGATAGAAATGGAAACCTATATAGTTATGAGTCTTTTATGACAGAGAAATCTTAAAATATGAAGAATTTTCTGCTGTAATGAAAGCAATCCCTGATGCAATTCATGCTTTGATGAAGGCACGTTTATCATATCAGGTATTTACATATGCAATACCTGAGCTAAAAATAACATCATTCAACTTAACTAGTGCAGAATGTACAAACAAAATAATAAGAAACCCATTAACCAACTGATCAAAGTGAACACCAAGAGGAAAATCTTTCTGGAATGTTCAAATAGATCAAATCAACTGGAGCAAAGCTTGGTCCAATCCATTTCTTTTTTGCATATCCAATAAAGTAAGAAAAGCTCAGTTTAAAATATTACACAATATTTACCCATGCAATAACATCATCTCCAAATTTGTGGAAATTGATCAGAAATGCTCCTTCTGTAAGTTAGAAGTTGAAACGCTTCACCATCTATTTTTTTTCATGCAGTTACTTTTTGAAATTATGGAGAGACTTAGAAGAACATGTAAGGACAACTTTTGGATAGAACATCAATATTTTTGTTAAAGATGTCATTTTTGACCTTGAAAATCGGGTGCAATCCATAAAGCATATTTCAAAGTTTTCAAAAATGGTCCCGAAATTTTATATATTTTTCATTGAAATAAAGTTATACATAGAAACATTAAGAAAAATGGAAAATAAAAAAAAAGAATTAGGACAGTAAAATATTATGATGAGCTATCCAGTATGGGTCATGAATAGGTGTAAAATTGACAGTTCTTTAAAATAAAAGTGATATAAAATTGAAAGGCAGGTTAGAAGCTTAACAGCAAAGAACAAAAAAA